TTTCAGAGAGAGAGTCCTCGTCAGAAGACACCGAGCCTAACTCGCCTTCCGATTTGCTTTCTTCTTCTTCGTTCTTGTCCTCCGCTGGTTCCCCCAGCTGTGTTTTCAGAAACTCACGTGCTTTAGGAACAGAGTCAATCTTTTCTTTTTTATCGTGGAGCTTGAAAATGACATATTCTGGAATTAACCATCTATAACTGATGCCACTTGTTTGCAAAAAAAGGATTAAGTCTTTATATTTCTTTCTCTTCTGTCTTATTTCAAATGGAATGTCTTTTAAAATCCTGATATTATTGTCCCCGATTTTCAAGGGTGTTCCCATAGTTGCTTTCAAAATAGAATCTCTCACATGTCTCTTTGAGAATCTGACTACTATTTCCCCAGGCAGATTATTTTTCTTGATGTATAAGGAATAGGACCTGTAGACCACATCCATCTCGCTGTAAAGATATTCCGCTGTCAAATCTGTCATTGGGGGTATTGCATCACTCAACAGTCGCTTCAGATTCTCTCCTTTAGATTCTGGGACCCCTTGGAACTGTAGGACCAAATTTGCTTTCTACATTTGCAGCTGTAAAGGCTGTGACTCTTCTGTAGCTTGTTTCATTTCCAGCTTTTGCACCTTTTTCTTGACTTTTTTAGTATTGGCATCCATTTCCTTCACCTTCTCTGCCACTTGCTCCATTGCATTTAAAGATTTAGTCAGTTGTAGCTGCTGTGAAGCCAAACTCTGACCAACTGTTGAGAATTGTTGCTTGATATTAGTCATCTCATCCAGCAGAGGATGCAAGGAATCTAGCAGTTTAGAAAGCTCAGTGGTCTCTTCCGTTCGAGGACTGCCCACTAGTTTTGCTTTCAACAGTTTGTCTTTATCTGGTTTCTTCTCTGCCATCTTTTTGGATTATTTACTTTTCTTAAAGTTGCTAAAGTCTCTGATATTCACCCATACGCTTATCTGTGCTCTGGTAAGTCTCTTAAAACAGATTTAGCCGCTTATTTTTCCGCTCCCCCCTCTCTATTTCCGTGTTTTCGTTTATGTGTTTGGGAGGGGCCCCTCCCCTGCTCGCTTTTCATCGCTCTTTAAGGGGGACAGCTTTCTTTTTAAATCTTCATGCTCGCTTCAACCCGACTCACAGTTCGTTGCTGGCCAACCAGCCACGCTCGGCATCGGTTTTTCTCGCCCGATCTCCGACGCTTGTCCTGGTCAGCAACACTAACTCCATGTGGACACTCAGTGGCAGGACCTTCGGGGTGGAGGAGCACCTCAATTCTTCGGCATCACACCGGCGAAAAGGTCGCCCCTCAAAAGCTCCCTGGCTAGGAGCCTTTTACCAAGGCTCCAGGGGGGTCGCAACCCATCACACCCCCTCCTACACGCTGGTGTGCAGATTGCATCCCCAGGATGTCTGGGAGAGGCCTCTGCCTGCGTGTCGCCATAAATTGGAAGTCCCGTGATCCTGTTTTTTGAGGATCAACCCTCTGGGTGTAGGAAAACTCGCCAGGGAACCAGGAGGATTGCTTGAGTGAGCCCACCGGTGTGGGAGATGAATGCGGCCACCTGATCAGCAATTTTAAATGCGAGATGAAACAGCAGTGAAACCCGATCAAAACGACTGCGTGACCACAGCCTAAGACTAACAAAATCTGTGGCAGGGTATGAGCTTCTGTGAGTCACTGTTCACTTCTTCGAGCGAGCAGTGGCTCACAAAAGCTCATACCTTGCCACAAATTTTGTTAGTCTTTAAGGTGCAACTGGACTCTTGCTCTTTTCTATGGCTGCAGATTGTGATTCAGGACCCAGAGACTAAAGAGACTTCCTTCTCTTTTCACACTGACTTTGAGACTGCTCAGTACAATTTTCATTCACACTGTATTGTTTAAAACTCTCCGTTTTGAACCCATAGCTTCCCCCACCTTTCAATCAAAGATTTTTTGTTTAAGTGTAATTCAGGTTTTGAATGGGGCATCTACAATTCTGTGACCAGTAACCTGGGCCTTTTAAGTCCAAAAAGGGTTACATATATATTACCATATAAAGGGGTGAAGGTCCACTGCATCACTGCTAGAGGAGTCTCCCCCACTTCTGGCTGCGTTTTATAATAAATGCCAGTGGCTACACACCACGCAACTGCAGAGCATGCCTAAAGCAGCAGCCATGGGGATGAGGGGACAGCGGTCTTTGGAGAGCCTTGTATAGCTGCTATGAATAAAAAATTGAAATCGTCCCCAACATGGTGGCCACAACTGGTATAAATATTTATAGGATTTTTCAATCCCCTGTAATTTACTCTGAGCTCTTATTTTCCTCAATGTCCAAGATCTGCTAGGAGCAGAATAATGCTCTTGAGGGTAACTAGTGTTACCAACTATGGACTGGGAAACTGCTGGAGATATGGGGCGAGGGGAGGGGAGGGACCTCAGCAGTAGGGATCCAAGCCCCTTGAACTGGGAGGGGGATCCCCCGATTTGGAGTGGGCTTCCCCGCTGCCAGCCAGCTGGCCAGTGGCTGGGAATCCTGCCCCCAAACGATGTTTTTGGGCTAGTTCCGGTGAAACCGGAAGTACTGCCCCCAACTCGATAACATCACCTGAGAGTGATGTCATTGCACCGGAAATGTTGCACGGGGGCTGCTCTCATATTTGGGCAAACTCTATGGTTTTGAGGGTGGAAAAACCATAGAGTTTCACCCAAATACCAGAGGGTCCCTGTGCAACAGTTCTGGCATGATGGTGTCACTCTCGGGTGATGTCATCCCATCGGGGACATCACGCAACATCCTCCCACCTCCTGGAATGCCCCTCAAAGGCCCCCACCAGCAGAGGTAAGGGACCTGGCAACCCTTCTTAACAGGGTATAAGGCTATAGAGTCCACTCTCCAAAGTAAGCCATCTTCTCCAGGGGAACTGATCTCTTTGGTCTGCAGATCAGTTGTACTTCTGGGAGTACCTGGTGGCTGGCAACCCCAGCACCAGCTCATCCTCCCCAAATACCATTGACATCTTAGAGATAGAATTTTGTATAGTTTGTTTTTATTGATAATAAATAATGCATTGTTTTACACAAACAGTAACAAAGGCCCCAGCATGCATATCCTTTGGCAAACAAACAAAGTAAAAAAAAAAAATGCAAAAAAGAGTGGGGACAGCAATGCGATGACAGCCAGTGCAGGAAACTCCAGTCCCTCTCCTTGTCTCTTACGTTTACAAAACTTTGGGATGTTCTTTCAGGACTCATTTCTCCTCATGTGTCTGAGATGTTCCTGATTCCAGTGGAGTGGTTAAGAGGGGCAGACTCTAATCTGAAGAACCGTGTTTGATTTCCCACTCTTCCACATGAAGTTTGCTGGGTGACTTTGGGCCAGTCACAATTCTCTCAGAGCTCTCAGCCCCACCTACCTCACAAGGGTGCCTCTTATGGGGAGAGGAAGGGAAGGAGATTGTAAGCTGCTTTGAGACTCCTTAAAGTAGAGAAAAGTGAGTTATACAAACCAGCTCTTCTTCTTCCATATAATGCCCTATTTAGCAAATGATACTGGAAGACAACATCCCAAATATAGAGTTGCCAACTCAAAAAGAAAGAAAATACTTTTACTGTCCCCCCCCCCCAGCCACTACCAGGATGTTTTGAGCTAACATTAGCAGCACTATATTTACTAAGGTTGTGTGCATGCTTTAGCTAAGTGCAAATGCTCACTGAACCAGGTTGTTGAGCTCGGCACTCCAGAAGACCATCCATGGGCTCCATTGAACCAAGGTAGTCATAGCAAAGCAACCTGATTAGTTTGGCACAGGGACAGCTGTGGAGATTGACTTTCCTGTGGCACTCTTCTCCACTGGTCAAGAGCCCAAGCATAGCCTTAATCCTCCTAATCCTTACCCAAGCTTCATCCACTGCTTCTGCCAGCACCTGCCAATGGTAAAACAAAACTTTTGCTATTCGTTCTGTTCCTACTGGGCCACTTGGCTTTCCTTCTTGATCTGTCCTCGGTGCTTCCTTTGGCCCTGCTCTGGTATTTGAAAACCGCATGTTGGCACACTTATCTGTCTTTCTCTCCTCTTCCACTTAATCAAAGAGCAGACCTGAACAGCAGAACGATGGTACTATCACCTGAGCTTCACAAGGCCTTTTTGTCTATGTACAGTTGATTGGAAATTAATTCGCTGCACTTGTTTGAGCGGACAGAGGAAGGATATTGACTCAAACCAATGCTTTCCACTGTGTTTGCATTTACTCCAGACCATGATGAACAAAAGCAAATGGAAAGAACAGACGGCAAGGACAGGCTGCAAAAGGCTGGTTTGTCTCTGTAGGGTCTCATGCAAGTTCTCACAAAGTCAAGACTAAAATGGCTGTCAGATTGCCCTCTTTCATACACCCATTTGAAACTTCTTCCTTAAAGGTTCTTTTTAGTATCTATGCAGTACATAAAAATGAATGATGAGTTAAACATAAAAAAGCTAATGGCAAGTATTGTTATGTATATGAGAAAGGACCAAGCCAAGGGTATTTTGGCCACCTTGCCCCAAAGCCCTGAAAGCCCAGGGTATATACAGTGCTCAGATGATTTGTACTCGGGCCCACCAGAAAATCAAACACAAATAGCTAGGAGAATTACAAAATACCCCACGCAATTGCAAATGAGAAGATCCCAGCCTAGACACACAGTTCTAGAACACTCCTGCTCTTTTGCCAGCCCCAAGAGGCAAACAACCATCCTTGTTTGGTGTTGCTTGTTGGAATGCATCATTTCTGAAATGGGCCATGTTGGAACAACCCCTTCCTCTGTGTTGGTTTCTGCTATGCATTCACAGATGCATGCAGGTACACATTCAAGATGGTCATACACACAAATAAAGTCTATCCCTGTTTCCCCTCTTCAACCCCTTGGCACCAGCAGAAGTAACTCGTTCTTTGGATTACGAGGTGCACAGTCAGTATTTATTTGGCATCAGGAGTGTTGGCTTCATCTCTTTTTTCCTTCCTATCCAGAGGTCTGTCGATTAAGGGGAGGACATCTCCATGCTCTTCTCCTTCTCTTCCCACTCTTCTTCTGACTCGTAAGTGCCTTTCACAATTGCTACTCTGTCAGACAGATTCATCGAGTGGGGCGACAGCAGGTAGTTGTAAAGCAAAGAAGCCAGGATGCCTCCGCAGATGGGTCCCACCCAGAAGACCTGAGAAAAGTCAAGGAAAGGGTTAAGCAATTTTCAAAGACTATCAGTTTCCTCACGATGCCAGTGAGACCCTATCAGACTTAACAGAGTAGTCATGCTTAATCACCTAATAGTTTGGCTTACATTCCATTTGCTCTTTGTGAGCACCAGAGTCCATTGTTTGGCTAGCTGTTCAGAGGCATCCAGACCAATTAGGGAGCATCTGATTAGCATGACTGCAGTGCTTTCTCACATGATTATGTTGCTTTCTCCTGGCTTCACACCCTGCCACTCATCTACTGCTGCTGCCTTCAGTTTTTAAAAAGGGAATGTAGTAAAGAAGGGGGGGGGGAATCCCATTTGAGATTATGAGTTGAGACTTACTACTTAGGTGCTTTTGGTGTCTGCCCATGACTTAGTTATTTGGACTGACTCTGAGCCAAAACAGCAGCAAGCCTGGCCCTGTAGTGCAATGTTTCCCAACCTGTGAGTTAGGAGCAGTGCTCCCTCTAAGCTGAGTTAGTGTGAGCTAGCTCACAGTTTTTTAGCCTCTGGCTCACACATTTTTGCCTTGGCTCAGGAAGGCTGGCTCCAGAGCAAACTAATTTATGCAGCAGCCAAATCACTCACTCACAACTTTAATGCCAGTAGCTCACAAAGTAGGATTTTTGCTCACAAGACTCCACAGCTTAGAGGGAGTGTTGGTCAGGAGCATCCAAAAGTGGGTCACGAAGCATTTAAAAGTGTGGGCCAGCCCTCCCTAATGGCCACCCCTGCCTTTTCCATTGCTGCCGCTTGTATTTTGGAAAACAAGATGTGACCATGGAAACATTATCTTCCATGTCATACATTAGTTGATACTTTCCCCCATTGCATATACATGTTCATTGAATAAAATGTGTCCAGATGGTTATTAGAGTGAATTTCTTAGAATCATAGAGGGATTAGAGATAGAGTTGGATTTATACCTGCCCTTCACTTGGAGTCTCAGAGCATTTTACAATCTCCTTCCCTTCCTCTCCCTACAACATATACCTTGTGAGGTAGGTGGAGCTGAGACAGCTCTGAAAGAACTGCTCTTGAGAGAACAGCTCTGAGAGAACTGTGACTGACCCAAGGTCACCCAGCTGGCTGCATGAGGAAGAGTGGGGAATCAAACCCAGTTCTTCAGATTAGTCCACACGCCTAACCACTACACCAAACTGGCTCTCATAGAATGCTGAACTAGATGGGTGCCAAGGTCATAATTTGCTTAGGGTGCCAAAAAACCATGGGTGGGTCACCATACCAAGTAAATTTGGACTTGTGGGTCACCATACCAAAAAAAGGTTGTGAACCGCTGCTTTAGCACATGTGGTGGTTACTGCCAAACCTTCTTGATATGGTGCTGGGTTATAGATTAACCTTGAGGCGATTGAGCATGATGTCATCAAAGGAATTTGAGTGAGTTAAATTCCCTTGGCAATTGTGTTCATGCTGAATTTGCAATATGCCCGGGCTTCTGACTTGTGCTGATGTTTTACAGCAAGGCCCACTAAGCATGTGGCCAGGAGGTACAGCAGGAAAACAATTCCTCCTCTTTTGGATGATCTGATTAAGTTCTAAAACAGGAATGGGCAGTTCTTTGGGCACAAAACAAAACAAAAAAACCCCCCAAAACACAACGGAGATACATTTGAATGTTCCTGCTCAGGCAAAACTTTAGAGAAATAACAAAAAAACAAAGAGATCTATTTAAAGAAAACTTTCTCAAGGGATAGTCTGTAAATCCCTTGATTACCACCAAGTTTTAGCAAAACCACTTTCTTGGTGAATTCTAGAGGTTTAATGTGAAGGAATTCTGAGGGAAGCCAGAACAGTTCTTAGGGGAATGATTCATACAGCTCAGGGCAGGATACATGAATTCCGACTACCACAAGCATTCTTATAACAACCAGGAGAAGTGGATGATATTGAGAGAGACAATGGTATGCTGCAGTTCTAAACAACATCTCTCCCTTCTAAACAACATCTCTCCCTTCTGAGTCCACTGAAGACTTCAACAGGTTTAGAAGAGTGGAATTCTGTTTAGGAGGACTGCACTGCCAGTGATTGTCTCATGCAAGAGTGTGGATTTGAACTCAGGTCTTGCTTTCTTAGTTGAACACTCTAATGATACACCAAACTGGCTCACTGATGTTTTGACTCTCCAGCGCCCATTGTGAACATCTCAGATTCAAGGGTTAAATAAAAGAGAGTACAGGATACAGCAAGCATTATCTGAGTCCCATTACCATTTCTGCCATCATGGCATTACAGGTGTATCTGCCCTAATAGGTTTGGCGGCAGAAAGTGCTGTCAAGTCTCAGCTGATTTATGGCGACCCCGTAGGGTTTTCAAGGGAAGAGAGGTTCAGAGGTGGCTTTGCCATTGCCTGCCTCTGTGCAGCAACCATGGACTTCCTTGGTGGCCTCCCATCTAAATACTCACCAGGGCCGACCTTGCTTAGCTTGTGAGATCTGACGAGATCGGGCCAGCCTAGACTATCCAGGTCAGGGCTTAATAGGTTTAGATTGGAGTAATTCTGCAAATGTTTGCACTATAAACCACTTCTTTTGTCTGTCTGGGCTTTGTTCTTGTCTCTGAAAAATGTTGGCTGTGCAACAATGGAGGGTGGATTCATATGACACGTATTTTCTGCAGTGATGATCTACCCAAGATAAACAGCTAAAATCTTACCCAGTGAGCAGGGCTGAATCGGCCAATGACAACAGCAGGACCAAATGACCTAGCTGGATTCATAGAGCAGCCAGTGAAATAGATCTGTGGAGGGAAGGATAGTTTGTTAGACATATTAACATTTCCTGTAAATCCATTATTGTCCCCTGCCCATCTGTCAGACAACCACACTCCCTGTTTCCTTCTGTATAGTGTAGGCAGTGAATTCTTCCTTCCATTCCCACCAATGTGTTTGTGGTGTTGTCTTGGAAAGAGTTCTAGACAACGCTCACAGATATACCCCTGGAGCAAACATCTGCAGCGAGCAAACCTAGATGTGTTCTGACGGCTGCTTCTCCAAACAACAGTATCAACAAACACTCTAAGAGGGCTGAAAGCAGATGTTCAGGATGAGGCACTACTTAGATCAAATATTTCAGTGTTGCCACCTCTGGCTTTTTACTCTGCTAGCCTGGATTATGAACAATGAGCAGTGGCTTGAGAAGTTTTAGTAATGGCGTCCCCACCTTTATCTCTGCAGGCTCTGCCTCATCTGTCCACACCGATTGATCTGACAAACCCTAAATTGGGAATTTAACTGTTACCAGAATGCCATACTCAGGGATGTTTTTTGTAAAATTCATGCAGCTCCTGTCTGCACCGATAATTACAATTTCTGTGGATCAGCAACAGTATTGTAGGGGGCCACCTTTGTGGTTATCACAGCAACTCTATGGTGTTCACAAGGAGCTGTAACTCCTCACAGACAGCACCTCCACGTGAGCAGGGGCTGGAAAGTTAAAAAGCCAGCTGAGACCTATGGTTGGCTAGATCTGAGCTGAATGGCCCCCTAAAAGCTACTGGGGCTTGTCTCCACTTGCTTCTGGTAGCCAGCAGCTTGGTAAGAGACTGGCTCACTGGGAACGTTCCCTGTAAGTTAATTGGCCAGCCCATCCTTGCACCCACCTTCTACTTCCTTTGGTTTATCAAGGGTGCGGTCACATGGAGGATTAGCCACGCTACAGAGACAGATGATAGGTGGATTTTCTGGGCGCAATCACACCACAACATCTGGGAAGCGTAGAGCTCCCGTGGCTAACCCGAGGCTTCCCGCCGAAGATGCGGCATAAAGAACTAGTACCTCCGAGGTACTAGTTTCCAGAAACCGTGGGGCAAGGGCGGGCGTCTGATCGCGTTTCCGGTGGTAGTTCGTGGCATTTGGCACCCGCCCATGTCCCTTCGCAAAAAGGTTTCCCCCCCCCAAGTCTCCATGGGATGCCCACAAGCACCCAACGGCACATGCGCACACTTCGGTTTAAAACAAAACACAACTCCGTTTGCCACGGCAGCAGCGCCTAGCCATTGCTGCTGTGATCACGCCACACCGCTTCTTTGCCGTGCTGCAGGATTGTTGTGTGATTGGCACCTGCCCCCGAACCACGGGATGTCGGCAGGATGTGTGATCCGGTGGCCCCGCGTTAGTTTGCTCCGGGGCAAACAGTCACGCTCCCCCCCCTCATTTTCCGACCCGTGTGACTGGGGCCCAAGGTCGGCATTGTCTATTCTGACTGGCAGCAGCTCTCCAGAGTACCAGGTAGAGGCTTTCCACATCACCTATTACCTGGCCCTTCCCACCCACCCCATTTGCAAATCTTAAGGATTGGACCTGGGCCTGGATGCAGAGCTGGCGCTCTCCCACTGAGCCATGGTCCCTTCTCCCAATACGTGAGGTGCCACAGTTGTTCATATTCCACCTCCCTCTGTGCATGAGGTCAGCCCAGTGGCGAGCCTGACAGTAGTTCTCAAAGGAATCACATCAGGCTTCTGAGATGGATCAACTGGCTCTATGACATCACAATCTTTCACACTCCACCTCTGCTTCGTCTTTTGTTTCTGCACAAACAAACTAAAAAGGTGTGGGGTAGGGAAACCATGCTGAAACACTCACCCCAACCAGGTGACCCAGGGTGACAGACAGCCCGATAGACAGGGCTGGAGAGCCTACGTTGTCCCGTCGGCGGCTGTCAGTCGAGGCAAAAATGCACATAACAAGCTGGAAAGTGAGGATCATCTCCACCACCACGGCCTGGCCTGCAGTTGTGTTGTTGCTGAGCTGTGAAGACAAGAAAGTAGGGAGGCTTAGGGTGCAGTCCCACATGCCTCTATCTGTAAGTGACTCTCACTGGCCCCAAGAGCGACCATCTTCCAACTAGATAAACATACTCAAGGGTGGATGCTAACTTAAAAAACACTTTTTTAAAATGTGCAAATGCCTGCAGGGGTTGTCATTGCATTCCAAGCCCTTGAGGCAGAGACCCGCATTTTCTAGCACCCTTGGGCACTTCTAAGCTTGGTGGGGGTGCTGTTCCATTTCTAAACTGGTTGGATCAGGACTCTGGAATATCTCTCTCCCCGCCCCCCCCGCTTTAAGTAACAGAAGAGGCTCAGACTGTCTACTGCAAAATTCCACCTCTCTGTCCTTTTTCACTCTCTGCGTTTACCTCTCTCTCTTTTTGGTCATCAATACCACATAGCAATCAATCTATCTGGTGGTGGAAAGTGCCATCAAGTTGCAGCCAACTCACGGCAACCCCATAAGGTTTTGAAGGCAAGAGATGATTAGAAGTGGTTTGCCGTTGCCCGCCTCTGTATAGCAACGCTGAACTTCCTTTGTGGTCTCACATCCGAGGACTAATCAGGGCTGACCCTGCTTAGCTTCCAAGATCTGACAAGATCAGGCCATATCTGTCTGCTACCTTTCTATCACCTTTCTGTCCTTCTTGTCCTTTGAGGATAGTTCTCTTGTTTTACGAAGAGTCTGTGAGTTAGGTTAGGCTGAAATGGAGGGACTTGCCAGAGACTACCCACTAAAACCAGGACCCAATAATGGGAGGGAGGTATGGGTATACTTTACAAGAACCCAGAGATCCCGGGGGGACTCACCCCTGTGTTTGCAAACCCATTGCTATGCCATGGTCTACATAAGACTCAGGGATATAGATTCTCCACCTACTCAGGGGAGTCACCTGCTATGCAGAAAAATATGGCTTTGTAAATTAACCTCCCCAAAAGGAAGCTGTTAATTTTTAAATTATATTTATATGTTTACACCCTGCATTCCTCCACAATGGGTACACAAAGCACTTTAAAGCATTGTGCTTCCCTTCTCACAACAACAATCCTGTGAGGTAGGTTAGGTTGAGGGAGAATGACTGTTCCCAAGTCAACAAGCAATAGGGTTGTAAGGCAGATGAGTTTTGAATGACGTCAAGAAGTTATTCCCTGACTGAGATAAATGGGTGTGTTGGGATTCGAACCCAGGTCTCCCCAGTCCTAGTCCAGTATATTAACAACCACAGTTCAGCCCTGAAATGGTTTGTTCTCTGCTAACACTGTACCTGCCCCAAATCATTTTTAAAGCAATGGAAGCTTGATGAGCAACACTGCCCTGGAGAAGCCAGGAGATTTCTAAGTATTTGGACCAGGTTTAGGGGCCACCCACTGGACACGTGTGAGCAGAAACCCATGGGTCTTGAGCTAATATTTAGCACAAAGATAGGGTAGAAAGAACTATAATAATTTAGGATCTAGCTATGTAAGACATTTACTTTTTAAAAAAGCAGACTGTAATCTCTCTGGGCATGTATGAAACTCACGGCTTCTTGTTTCAAATGAGGTTTATCATGAAGATGTAACAACGCAGAAGGCTTTTTTGTATTACAAATTCCTCTGCTTTGTTTCCTCTTCTGCATGAGTAGCAATCAGAAATTGTGCAAGAGAGGCTCCCAAAGAATTTTAAACCCCTACAGAAAACGGCTTGAGTCACTTTTATGGTCTGTGCATTCTCTTGGCTTGCTAGCTAGAAGTAGGGGGTTAGGGAAAATGTAGGAAAGGAAGGGGTGTATAAACCTGATTCGTAACCATAGCCTGGAGGGTTGGAAGGGGTGCTGCATAACAAAGGTCTAAAACATGATTCCCAGCATCTCATTTGCAGCAAGTCCATAAGAATATATTACTATGGATATTTTGAACCTCCAGCTGTCTTCCTTGCAGATCCAAGAGGTTTTCTAAGGGTTCTTTGTATTGCACTACCAGGATCATCCCTGTACCGGCTTAACTAGATTCCTCTGTCTTTTTTCTGTCCAGATATAATTTGGCTCCTAAACTTAGTTTATATACTTTGGCCACAATCCAGCAGAGAATTAAGTGCACTAAAGCCTTATTTAATCAACGGTCTTAAGTGCTTTTAACTCTATATTGGATCGCAACCTCTAGCTAGCCTCAAAAGAGGCTTGTAGTCATTCGTAGACCCTGCCCAAATACCAAGAATGAGGGGAAGAATAGACCTGCCTGGCCTGCAAGCCCATCACCAAGATTTGATCAATCTACAACATTTCTGAAATAAGACAAAAAGTTTGCTTTCATTATTTATGAAAGTGTACATATGGGACAGGATCTGGAGTAAGGGGCATGTTAAAATTTTGCACCGAGCCCACAGAAAATATATTTAGGACCCACATGCAAAAAGCACCTCTTTCCTTCAGGCGGATTTTGTATATGTGTGGTGCTCCCTTCCATAGTAAAGGTAAAGGTTCCCTTGCTCAAAAGCCAGTTGAATCCGACTCTAGGGTTGCAGTGCTCATCTCCGTTTCAAAGCCGAAGAGCTGTCCGAAGACGTTTCCGTGGTCATGTGGCCGGCATGACTAAACACCAAGGCGCACAGAACGCTGTTACCTTCCCACCGAAGCGGTACCTGTTTATCTACTTGCAATTTCTTGCTTTCGAACTGCTAGGTTGGCAGGAGCTGGAACTAGAGACGGGAGCTCACTCCGTCATGCGGCAACCCGGGTCTCAAACTGCTGAACTACTGACCTTCCACAGCCTGCAGTTCAGCGTCTTAACCACTTGAGCCACCGCAGCTCCCTTCCATAGTACATTTATTTATATATTAAATGCTGCTCCAGAGGGTCCCCTGACCTCTGAGACTGGTGTTTGGGGTGGCGTGCTGGGGAATGGTGTGCCACACCTTGCAAAGTCAGCCTTTGCATCTCAGCCTCCCTTTTCAGCTAGGAACTTAGGGATGCCTGCAATGCTCCCTCTTAAGCTGTGGAGTCTTGTGAGCAAAAATTCTACTCTCTGAGCTACTGGCATTAAAGTTGTGAGCAAGTGATTTGGCTACTGCATAAATTAGTTTTCTCTGGACCCATCCCTCCTGAGCTAAGGCAAAATGTGTGAGCCAGAGGCTAAAAAATTGTGAGCCAGCTCACACTAATTCAGCTTAGAAGGATTACTGGACACCAGCCTCCAAGTGGGACCTGGCGATCCCCCGGAATCGCAACTCATTTCCAGACTACAGAAATCAGTTTCCCTGGGGGAAAGCAATGCTTTGAAGAGTGGACTCTATGGTATTGTACCTCACTGAGGTCCCTGTCCTCCCCAGGTTAACTTCCAAATCTCAAGGAGTTTCTCAATCTGTATTTGGCAACTCTAACCCCCTCCATCTACTATTGGTGGCCAGGGGGGACCTGGCAGCCCTATGAACTACATCTCCAAGACTACACAAGCAGATATATAAAAATTAGGCATCAAAACCTCAACTATTGTCAGCGGGTCGAAGTGATCCCCTTTCCCACGCTGAAGAAGGAAAAAGAAATCAATTTCATACATGGAAAAAACTCTCTAACTTTTGTTTTTGCTCCTCCTCCAGGTGGCAAAGCTGGAGTTAAAGAAGTTTTTGCTTTCCCTATCTCTCCTCCTGACTCACTCACCCCCTTAGGCTATGAGAAGCCTTGGGAAGGAACCCCGCCTTGTAAATTACTCTGCACAGTTAACCTGTCAAGCCAGCCAACTGCCTGATGTATCATTACAGCATTAGAGCCATTAGTCCATCTCAGGCTGCAGTGCAGCTTGTAGGTGGAATCTACTGCACCAGAAGCACAGAGTGTCAGCCTCTGACTTTCAAATCCCTGCTGAGATGTAGTTACCCTTCCTCTGTACGTTGGCTTACCCGAGAATCCCTCGCACAAAACTGCTAAACCACCTAACTATCTCCAGAACGAATCACCTTCCCAAAAGCAGAGAGCACTTACCCCATTGACTGCCAAGTTGCCACGGACGTTAACAGGAGTCACTCCATAAAGGATGCCTGCTCCAGCAATGGCCCCCACCAACTGGGCCACGATGTAGAACAGGGTCCGGAGGAAAGAGATCTGGTTGCCGACAAAGAAAGCGATCGTCACTGCTGGATTCATGTGTCCACCACTGATGTGGCCAAAGGTCTGTGCCATGGTGCCAATGGCCAAGCCGAAAGCCAGGGCGATCTGGAGGACGGTGGGCAAGGCTGAAGGCCATTTCAGGGCTGATCCTAAGCCAAAGAAGACAAAAATCAAGGTGGCTAAGAATTCGGTAAAGACAGCTCGGGCAAAAGCGATGGTGCAGATTTCTTTCCTCATGTTCAGGCTGTGGCAGGTGGAATGGTGGTGATGATAGATGCTAAGTGGCTGCTGTGGAAATGTAGGGCCAAACAGATCTATATATATGTCTACAGGTGTAGTTAGGAAGGATTTTATGGGTGGAGCCAAGACAATTGCCAGTCCTCCACCCTCCCCACCTGATCCTGTGGAATTTGGAAACTTTCCATCTTCAAGCTACATCTACGCCTTCCTCTCTCATAGGCTGGTGCTGATTTTCTTCTTTTCTCCTTTAGACAATGGGGACCCTATTGAATGTCCCTGCGGTCATTAGATAACCACAGCATTGCATAATGACACAGCAAATGGCACCTTTTCTATTTACACTGCTTTTATATTTATATGTTTATACATAATATATATTTGATTTGTAGTGCTAGGCATTTAAAAAGAAACATTTCGTACCACTGGCATATTTATTATGCCTTCCCCCTCTCCTTGGGTGAAAGCCATCTGACAAAGTTGTGGCCAGTTCTGCAAAGATTGATTCTCTGGTATTTAAAGGTTTGACTGGAGTGAATCCCTTCATATCATTGAGATTATGGATTATACGCCTTGGTGAACCAGACCATTGTCCTGGGTGATTATTAAAAACTAGGAATCGTAGTGTGGTTATGAGTAATGTGTCAATGTGCAGGTAGCAGACAAACATACTCCTGTTTTAATACAAGGGGAAAAAAATACAAGAAAGGAACGAAAGATTAGCACGACCTTGTGGTTCAGAAATGTTGTGGCCTACAGTCAACCAACAGTTTCTGTTGCTTCAGAGGCAAATAACTTTCAGATGTGCCAATGATTGAACAACCTCAGAAGGTTTCCCAAGCGTTTGTTCTTTACTTGTTTTATCAGTGAATATCTACGAATAACCTCCTTTTAGACTGTAGGGGACTTTTACAAATGAGGTTGTTACACTTGCAAATTACCCATCCAGAGGGATCCATAATATTGCTCCCTTTGCTTTAAAGAAACCAATCACATCGCAAGGCAATGCACTGATAGGGACCCAGAGGGGTTTGGAATGGGACTTTGCAGATATTAGGGCTGTACAAAAAAAGACCTGAGAAATGTTGAATTCATATAGTCCCTCTAAATAAGCACACTGGCCTTTCAATTCAATGTCAGTTCTGCGCAGGACCAGAATGAAGCTACCTTTTGACGCTGCTGTGTATGTTTTCATAATGACCAGAGAAGAAGTGAACAATCCCGAGATCAGGATGGGCCAGAGGGAAATATGACAGCATTTGGCAAAGCTCTTGGGATCAAATTGTGAAATGACAAGGCATTGTTGGTCATATCTTTAAAGATGGTTTTAAAAAACCAGCAGGGAAATGTCACTTTACAGAGCGGGACAAACCACAACTCTTTTCATAGGAGGAAGAGGGGAACCATACCAGATGGAAATGGAGCAAAATCAGTTCAGAGTATGCCTGTGACTGACAGTGCAGAGGTGAGGCTAACAGCAAACATTCATGACTACAAGTGAGGGGCCTATGAAAAATCATGGGGGGTGGGGGTTCAGCTTGGCCATCCCAATGCATCTGCGCTCTCTAATGTCCCCCTTCAGGTTTGCCTAAGGTCTTAGGGCTTAAGCAGACTGATTTCTCCACCTTAAGACACATAGGTAAGGGTAAAGGTTCCCTTGCTCGAAAGCCAGTCGAGTCCGACTCTAGGGTTGCGGTGCTCATCTCCGTTTCAAAGCCGAAGAGCCAGCGCTGTCTGAAGACGTTTCCGTGGTTATGTGGCCGGCATGACTAAACACCAAGGCGCACGGAATGCTGTTACCTTCCCACCGAAGTGGTACCTATTTATCTACTTGCAATTTCTTGCTTTCGAACTGCTAGGTTGGCAGGAGCTGGAACTAGAGATGGGAGCTCACTCCATCATGCGGCACCCGGGTCTCGAACTGCTGAACTACTGACCTTCCACAGCCTGCAGTTCAGCGTCTTAACCACTTAACCACTTGAGCCACCACATACCTGTTCCTTTAATAGACACTCAGCTGTTCTTCTCAGGCCACTGAGAATCAGTGTGGTTTAATTATTTGAGTGTCGGACAAGGAGACCCAGATTTAGGTCCTTACTGTTCCATGGAAAATTGCTTGGTAGGGATGCCAGACCCCTCGGTGTGGGTGTGGGTCCCCAGGTTTTGGGCACTCCTTTCCGCCCTCCATTACCCCCTCAAACAGGCAGGAAACTAAAAATAAACGTGAGCAGAGGTGAGGCTAACAGCAAACATTCATGACTACAAGTGAGGGGCCTATGAAAAATCATGGGGGGTGGGGGTTCAGCTTGGCCATCCCAATGCATCTGCGCTCTCTAATGTCCCCCTTCAGGTTTGCCTAAGGTCTTAGGGCTTAAGCAGACTGATTTCTCCACCTTAAGACACATACTTGTTCCTTTAATAGACACTCAGCTGTTCTTCTCAGGCCACTGAGAATCAGTGTGGTTTAATTATTTGAGTGTCGGACCAGGAGACCCAGGTTCAGGTCCTTACTGTGCCATGGAAAATTGGTAGGGATGCCAGACCCCTTCAGTGTGGTTTAATTATTTGAGTGTCGGACAAGGAGACCCAGATTTAGGTCCTTACTGTTCCATGGAAAATTGCTTGGTAGGGATGCCAGACCCCTCGGTGTGGGTGTGGGTCCCCAGGTTTTGGGCACTCCTTTCCGCCCTCCATTACCCCCTCAAACAGGCAGGAAACTAAAAATAAACGTGACATGCCTACATCACCCGGAAGTGATGTAGGCACATCGGTGATGGGGGCGCACATTCGGGTTTTGGGGCAAAACTCTATGGTAGAAGCTAATTCTACCATAGAGGTCTTGCCCACAAACCAGAGCATCCCCCCCATGTCACTGATATGCCTACTTCAGTTCTTGGTGACGTAGGCATATCATGTTTATTTCCGGCTTCTTCCCTCCCCACTCCAGGTAAGTTCACCTCCATAATCCACCCATTGGTCCAATGGACCTGGCAACCCTATTGCTTGTTGACTTGGGAACAGTCATTCTCCCTCAACCTAACCTACCTCACAGGATTGTTGTTGTGAGAAGGGAAGCACAATGCTTTAAAGTGCTTTGTGTACCCATTGTGGAGGAATGCAGGGTGTAAACATATAAATATAATTTAAAAATTAACAGCTTCCTTTTGGGGAGGTTAATTTATAAAGCCATATTTTTCTGCATAGCAGGTGACTCCCCTGAGTAGGTGGAGAATCTATATCCCTGAGTCTAGAAGCAGCTCAGTTTTGTGGCTTTTGTTATCCCCACAGGGGTCAGCCGATTTACACAGAACTATAGTGAGGAGGATCAACATTTATTGCACTTTGGGGAGTGAAGCCTCTGGCACCGATTGGCTGATCAAATGGAGTAAAATGGAAATTCAGTTGCTCAGGGGAGTAAACAGTCTGTAGTTCATATTTCATGAGGGAAGAACAAGTTGTCATTTTGGCTGGGACTAAAATTTCACAGGGGCCAGACTGAGAAGAGGTCCTAGGACTCAGGGTAGCTAAGGGACGTGGAATCCTGAGGCAAAGATACAATGAAAAGCTCAGAACAGGAGGTGGAATGAGAAGGAGGAAGGAAAGACTGGTAGAGACAGAGCAGCAGAGATGTAACCCAGGGTTTTGGGGCCCTTCTTCTGTATCACCCCCATTTTGTCATTAAATAACATAATGTACATGGAATATCAACGTAATATATTGTATTCCTTAATATGCCCAAGCTACCCGATCTGGTCAGATCTTGGAAGCTAAACAGGGTCAGCCCTGGCTACTATTTGAATGGGAGGCCACCAAGGAATACCAGGGTCATGATGTAGAGGCAGGCAATGGCAAACCACTTCTGAATGTCTGTTGCCTTGAAAACCCTATGGGGTTGCCATAAATCAGCTGTAACTTGACAACATCAACAGTTCTTCAGTATGTAGTGTTTATTATGATAAATTCATTAATAATCATGAGTGCCCATGAGGTAGGAAAATTGGCTTCCTATTTGATTTGTAAGCCACTGCCCTGAAGGCCAAGGGTCAGACAGGCACAGCCTTTTTTATTCACTCACCTCAGACAACATGAATACATTTGTTGGAAGCCCTCAGTTTTGTGAGGTCCTGAGGCGATCTGCCCCCCACACCTCTAGGTGAGGAAAAAGGCTTGAGGACTAGGACAGAGACAACAGAAAATTCAAGGGGTTTTCCAGCTGATGCCTTTAGTAGTTGTTGTGGTGTTTTCAGTTGGCAAACTATGGCTTTATTGTATAGATTGGCTGGTTTTTAGCTGCCTCAAATGAAGAATACAGATCTTTTAATTAAAAAAAATAAACCAAGGAGAGACTTTGAAGAACCTTCACAGTTTTTAAGATAAGGACAGGCTCCATGGTCTGACAGGGAGAGGGAAAGTAGGGTTGCCAGCCTCCAGGCGGTGGCTGGATATCTCCTGGAATTACATTTCTTCTCCAGACTACAGAGATCAGTTCCCCTGAAGAAAATGGCTTGCTTCAGAGGGTAGATTCTATTGGCAGCACATCATTCTGAAGTCTCCACTCTCTGCCATCCACAAATGGAGCCCTCCACAGGTTCTGCCCCATATCTCTAGGAATTTTCCAGTCTGGAGTTGACAGTCCTAAACAGAAGAATGACATGGTCATGATATGTGTTGGCTAAAGGAATGGGACAAAGTAGTCAATGGATTATGATCAGGAGCTTGAGGAAACTGTGGGTTGTGGCTATGAAGAAAGGAGGAACCTAGGGGAAAGCAGGGCAGGTGCAAAAATTATTTATTTATATATGTGCACTCTGCTTTTCTCCCCAGTGGGGTCCCAAACAGTGTTCCCTCTAAGCTGAGTTAGTGTGAGCTAGCTCACAGTTTCTTAGCCTCTGGCTCACAATTTTTTGTCTTAGCTTAGGAAGGAGGGCTCCAGAGCAAACTAATTCATGCAGTAGCCAAATCATTCACTCAAAACGTTAATGCCAGTAGCTCACAAAGTA